GAGGTGTTCCTTCGTTCAAAATGATCTGATGCGATCATTAGATCATTGTGGGAACTTCAAAAATACCCTTGAATATATCCAAGACCTGTTTTATGAATGTGGGAACTTCTCTTGGAGATGCAAGAGTTTTTCCCAAAGTTGGTTCTTCGTGTAATTTCACCCGTTGATCTCCCATATTGAACTCAATTGTTTGATTCATCCAATTGGTTTAAGTGGTTCCAAGAGTTTGTAACCATTTCATTCCCAATATGACATCAGTACTGCCTAGTCTTAAAGGTAAGGATTCTTTTGTGATATCAATCCCTTGGAGTTGTAATAAGATCCCCTAACATACTCTTATTCCGGCTTCATCATCACTGGTTCCCATTTTGACCCCGTAAGGTTCGGTATCACTGATTGGGATTCCCAAAGTTTGAACTACTCGAGAGGCAATGAAATTATGTGTTTCACATGGATCAATAAGGGTCAACACCTGATTATTTTCGATTCTCCCAGTTAGCTTCATCGTTTTTGGAGAAGTAAGACCTGCCACTAAATTGAGGGACACTTCCACAGGATCGACAACCTCTGTGGTTTCGATTTGGGCTTCCAGTTCTTCGTTATTGTCAGTGCTACTATCTCCGTCGAGCAAGATGACATTGATTTGTGTTTTGCACTTATGGTTGATGTGTCGTTTCTCATCGCACTTGTATTAGAGGCCCTTGGTTCTCTTCTCATTGATCTGTGATTCCGTTAAGTATCAGAAGGGATTAGATTTTCTTCCTATTCCGATGGTGTTAGAAGAATGATACATTCCACCGCTAGGTTGTGTCACAGCTTGATATGTCTGTCGGGTGCCCAAGGATCCAAAACCAAAGCTTCTAATGGACTTGTTCTTTTCCTCGATTTTTTGGGCTAAGTTCATAGCTTGGCCCAAATCTGTTGGAGTCCACATTCGTATTCCATCCCTTATGTTGGGCTTGAGTCCTATGATGAACGTCGCCATGGTTACTGGTTCAGAAACGTCATCTAAACACGCCGACAATTCAATGAATTGACGAATATAGTCACTCGTCGTCCTAGTTTGCTCAAGCGAAACCCATTGTTCATATAGGTTCCTCCATGAATAGACCAAAAATTGTGGAGAAAAAGAGATTTCATACCTTTTCTGCTTGTTGGACCATCGGAACCATGATAGGGCGTCTCTGCTAAGGCTGAAAATGGAGGCCTCCACTTGTTCCTCGTTGATGAGTTAATAGATTGCAAAGTATCTCTCAGCTTGCACGATCCACCCATCGGGGTTTGTACCATCAAATAGAGACATATCGACCTTATGATGTTTGTAATCAAATCTCCCCCTCCATATGTATGTTCCATCAAAGGAACCAAAAACCAACCCAGAACCTCCACCCCCAGACCCTGTTGGACCTCCCTCGAATCTAGGGTTCTTCATTTAGGGGTTTGAGTTAGGTGTTACCAAACCAGAGTTGTTGACCTCAGAGCTTTTACCCTTATCCGTCTTCCCTAGTATTAGATCCATCTTTCTCAACATCTTATTTTGGATGACCCTGGCATCTTCAATGGTTCTTGAGGTCTTTTTTTCTGCCATGCATGTGTTCTTCCCAACACTAGCCATGCTCTGATACCAATTGATGAGACCTTGATAGGACCTCACCTAAGATACAACAATAAGAATAAGAACAAGAAGTTACTGACAATTTCTAAAAGATGATATTAATGATTCTTCCACATTGGAGAGGTGGAAAACTCTCCAAGGGTCATAGACCTTTTACAAAATTCTTCACACCTATAATAAGGGAATAAAATAGCTATAAATACTCTCAAAGTTTGGACTACCAGGTAGACATTACAACAAGACCACAAAAGTTGTCCCCCAATCAAAATTTGCCAACCTATAGAGATAGTGGGCGTGACATAATTATTTAGGATACTAAAGCATAACGAACGATTTCCAGCCCATTCCAGGGAACTAATTGGTTGTTGTCACATGCCCCATGGTGGAACCTGCTTTCGGACCTCTCATTCTTCTATAAACTTGAGTTGGTGGGGGTTTATCAGTTAATTAAGTCTTATATCTCTTACCTTATTCTTTATACTATAATTATGTAAATTTCTCATTTTTGTCCCATTTTTGGACATAACTAGAGTGCATCCAATCATGCAATTTGACCTAAATATTCAATCCATCCTTTCCTTTCCACTATTTTCATCATGACGTACATCATAACAAATTGTAAGCATTGAAGAAAGTAATATCAATAGAAATTCTGATGGTTAGTAATGACAGATATGACTTTATTGTTGTGAGAGGAAGAATGGGAGATGTTAAGCTTAGTGAGGGCATGAGATGTGTAAAAGCATTTGAAGTGATCTCACTAACCATGAATGGGTCGACTAGACTAAAAAAGAGGCTACCAGAAGAGATGATGTTTTGACGAATGTTCTCCGACGAAAATCCTATGTATATGCTAATTACACATAGTACCCTAGCTATAAATGCCAAGTTAATTCCTATAAATAATGGATTTACAGGAACTAAGAATATTCTTTAATTAAGACACAATTATCTACAATATATATGACTATTATCTAAGCTTCATATGTACCATTGTCATCTAAGCCTCCATTGATTTTTAAACCCTCTTTGTATCTTTGAGAAACTGCAAGGTAATTTTTTGGAACGTCTTAAAAAACGTGATCTTTTCCATTTGTTTTATGCTTTTTTTTCAAGTCCAGCTACAAGTTTTATCCTTGCAAAGTGCGCTTTTGTTGAGTGTGACATTTTTGCTTCTAAGGAACCTTCTACTTTGTATATCCAAAAAGCAATAGCTCACCTCATATGAACCATAACCAGTTGATACACATTTATTGGCTTTTTACCTCAAGCTTGACATTATGTCAAACAAAACAACCAAGAAAGACTTATCGTCCTACCATTGTCATTCTACCTCTGGAATCTTGAACCCTATTAGCTCTAAAGGTCCCCAAATAATCAAGTAAGATGTTTGTAATATGTTAGGCAACCCTGAATGAAGCATGATACTCTTTGCCTTTCAACTTAGTTTCACGTTTATTCTTTCAACAACTCTATTATGTTGAGGAGTTTTTTGGACTATCGTCAACATCCCGATCCCATTCCCAACAAATTTTTTGATGATGTATTCGCCTTCATTATCAAAGTACACACTTTAATTATATTTGTCTCGTTCTCAACAACTCGCTTCCACCTCTTAATGGTAGTGAAGACATCATATTTATCTTGTTGAAAATAAACCTATACCATTATGTGATGGAATCAACTGTGAAAGTAACATAGTACTGCGATCTTCCTATTGATGAAACTATTGTAGATACATCAACATGAACCAACTCCTATCTACTAGCCTATGGTGATGTCCCCATCTTCGCATAAATAGTATTTTTCTATTTGCCGAGTACACATGGCTCACAGAAACCAACATACACATTCATTAAAATCATTGGTTCAACAAATTAGATGCAACCACATCCTCAATAGTTTGATTTTCTCCATTTATATGTACTTCAACATTATACAAAGATGTATGTTTATAGCCGAAAGCAACACCTGAGTTTCCATTTGTCAACAACCACCGGAGATGCAAAAGGAAACGACTTCATTAATAAAAGGGAACAATGAAAAACCTAAAAAGGTAATTAAATGAAAACTCCAAAACTGTAGTTCCTTAAATGAAACCACACATAGAGATTGATACACTTTATATGTGACATTGTTCCATCTCAGTCTCTCATTATTCAGTATATTGGAACAAGTGATGTTAGAATGTAAGTTGGTTGTTAGTATGAAATGGTAATGGTATCGTACTTGTCATCAATTTTATGCTAAGTGTGGGGATTTTGGTTCATAGAATGTTGTGGAAGAAGGAATGAGAGATGTCAATGGTATTGGAATATGAAGGACTTGTAACTTGTCACGTGTGAATTTGGTTGACAAGAAACGGAATTTGACAACCAGAAACAAAGAGATGTAAAATTCCAATTCCAACGTAACGTGCAAATTAGTGTCATTCTCTTTGGTCTAATAACCTTTATATTCTCTTTTAGTTCATTGTAGTTGAAGACATGAAATACAAGATGAATTTTTCCTAGTTATTTTCTCTATATTGTTATTATATTTGTTGTTTGTACATTATTAACATTACCTACTGGGGAATAAATTCGATATGAGCACCTGCACCAAAGTTTGGTTTTTCTTTCATCATCAAGGGTGGCTGTTCATCCTTTATCCTTTATACTTTTAGGAATCAAGAACAGATATTGCTCAAGTAATGTTGTGGGCTTTATAGTTGTTGGGCCACACTTTGGTTTTGGGCTAACTTTTGTTACCCCACCAATGTCATTATGGTTGCAATCTAATTACTGGCTATGGTTCAGTCTTTAGTCTTTAGTGTGGGGCTTATCCTTCCTTGGCACCAGAAAAGCTGAATAATACAGCTGTTTATATATTTTTAGGGCTAATTAATTTGCAGAAAAACCTGACCAACTTTGAAAACAAAAAATGTAAGTACCAATTACCAAACTTCCAGTTCACTGTACTTTGGTTGACTCATGATCTGCTCCATCAGCAGAAGAAATCTGTTGTTCCACTTCCCACATCATATTATGTTTCTTTAGGCCTTTGGTTCCATTTGTAATGCAATGATCCATTCTGATTGATATTCCAGAAATCCGGATGAGATATATAATGGGCCTACCAGTCTCCTTATTATCTGCATAGCCAAAGAACACTATACATTCTTGTTATCATTAGTCAATATATACCTTGATGTGGCAATAACTTGTCACCAAAATAAAAATAAAAACTGGAAGTTTACCTTAAATAGAACAATTTTGGAACACAGCCAAAGTTGGTTACCTTTCTATATATGCAATTTTTGTTTTTTTTTTTTTTTTTTTTTAATATGGCAACTAATCAATGGACTTAAAATGGTTGATTAATTATCTGACTAGCTATTGTTTAGTGTGGAGGTTATGGTTTCCAGGTATCATAAAAGCTGCCTTGAGGCAGAAGAGAGAAGCACCCAAGAAGGGGCTTCCCAAGATAATATGGTAAGTAAGTAAGTAATTTGTGATCTATCATTTCAATTTTGTATTCAATCTTGATCATAACACTAAATTTTCCATTACACAGGAAATTACCAACACCTGTACAAGATTCCAAACATGCAATGAGCTTCTAAAGTCAGTAAGAAGGTATACATATCATGTTTGCACTACACTAGCTATATATATATATATATATATATATATATATATATATATATATATATATATATATATATTATGTGTATGAGTATCTATTATATATGGAGGTTAATCCCAGAGGTTGACAGGGTTGATGAAGAGGGAGATAAGGTATCTGTGAGTGAGATGACAGAGTTAGAGGAGGAACTTAGTGCTGCTCTTATGCATACACGTTCTAGAAAGGTGTCATCTTAATTTCTCATCTGGCTCCCAGTTTATTCAATCCATCTGGATCTCCTGAATTTGTCTTGTAATTACTAATTAGTTTTTTGTTTTTTATTATTTTGTGGTATATATAATATTGGAAAGTTAATGAAAACAGAATTAATGGATGTTTCTTGTATATATATCTTATTCATTGAGGATTGACAATAATCTTTGTTTACACTTTGCACAGACACAGGTAATGATGGAGCGCATATCAAGCTTTCATGAACAGGTATGCATATGGAAATTGTTGATTGTTTTTAATTAAGGTCGGTTTTTCTTTTTTATGACCTTCATGACTCCTTTTTTTGTATCAAATAAAATAAAAATACGATTAAATACATGTCTTATGAAGCAAGCTTTGACAAAATGCAGGAAAGGAAATTAAGCGAGGAAAAGAAAGAACTGAAGCAGCAGGTACGTACGTAAATATCTTATTAACATGAAAATTGCAAAGATTTTCCTCAGTTGTTTATATGTCTAAAAGAAAAGAGCATATATAGTTTCCATGAAAACATGTCTAGTTTTCATTGGAGATTATGTTATGTGAATAAAAAAAAACAAGTGATGAAATGTTGTTGACTTACAGTTGCAGGTGGCAAACCAGACAGATGATGTTGAGGATGGTGGTGGAGGAGGTGGTCTCGGGGAGACTGCAGCTAACGGTAACCAATATTGTTGCCACCAGACCACAGATCCACTCCAACAACTTCCAACACTCCCTCTCTTCAAGGATTAACAATTACTTCCTACAAATCAATATAAATATCTTTGGAATTAATTAATTAATTAATGGGAAATATAAATATCTTTATATCGATTCATCACCAGATCAGACACTTGTGTAGGCTGTTGTTGAAGCACTTTTTTTTCAGCAATTAATAAAGTTTATCTTTAACTGTCGACGAATTGAATGAAGCTCCTAAAGTTGGCGTGCGTCTTTTAGAAAGAAAGCTACTACTGCCTACGTACATATGCCCGGCAACAGAGCTTAATTAACCATGAAGAAACCTCACTCTACTCTTTTCAGTATTATTATTATTATTATTATTATTATTATTATTATTTGTATTTGGTGAGTGGTCACCCATACCCATTATAGAAAGTTGTATTGGAGAATGGGTATTTGCCTAATCGAGAACATCTAAACTTATCATAGCAATCCTATTTTGAATAATGTAGAGATTTTTACAAGTCACGGATATCCACCTAGTCTATAATATAAATGTCTAAATAATAATAAATAATAATAATAATACTAGGTGTAAGAGCTATGTATTACATGGTTAATATTAGAATCAGATTTGTGTCAATATTTTAATTGTCATCGTACAATGAGTGAGATGGCAAACGAGCAACAAGTTGTGCCGCTAAGCCTTTTTGAATGGTAAAGCTAATTCTTTTAAAGACTACATCCGAAGATCTAAGGGATATATTTAAGAACTAAATATAAATGTCTAAATATTTAAGAACTTTGGATTTATAAGAAAATAAGAAAAATAATGAATTATTAAAATTGAATTTTCTTTTAAATTTAAATAAATAAACAAAATAAACTAATGAGTTTTAATTTTAGAATTTTGAAATAAAAAATTAAGTCCATTAATGAAATTAATATTCATTTATTATTACATTTATTGTAATTATTACATTAAAATATTATATGAAATTTATTAAAATAGAAAAACCCATAAAATGAAAAAAAAAATAATTCAAAATAACCACAAAATGACATTTGGCAAATTGAATGAGAGTGAAACACGTGACAAAAAAAACCTTTATTTATTAGAGTAAACTAGTTGTGACACCCGTATGTTATACGGGTTGGATAAAACAAAAAAATTAAAAATAAATATGAAGGTTTAAACAAAAATTTATTTAAATTTAAAATTTAAAATTTAAAATTTGAATTTAAAAGGAAACATATTAAATACTATATGAGTTGTAATATTGTAATTTATTGGTTATTTCTAATTAAGATAATTATTAATTGAGGTGTAAATATGATGTTTAATTAAGAAAAGATAAAAAAAATGAGAAAATGACACATGGAAAAAACATTTATTCAAAAATACAAAAAAATAACATGTGTTCAAATTAATGAGAAAGTGACATGTTACAAAATTATTTTTATTTATTAGGGAGGATAATTGGTTCATGTGTCATTACCAAAGAATCATAGCCTAAGACCTAAGTTGACTAGGGGGCAAGCATTAATTTGTTTGGTGAGTGTCAAGTATTAGTTGGCCCATGTGTCGTTATGTAACTAAACAACTATATCATTAATTTTTTATTTTTCTGTTTGAAAGAAACGAAACGGTATAAGAAGTAAGAACTAAGAACTACTATTAAACTATTTTTTAATTATAAAGGATATCTAATATTTTGGGGATATTAACAAAAATATTAGAGTTGGCAATGGATCGATCTGGGTTGGGTTCGGGTTCAACCTATTTACTAATTAAGTTGAAGATTTCAATCCAACCCAACCTGCTTATTTAAATTGGTTGATATATTCAATCCAATCCAACCTTTCAGATGGGTTATCGCCGGGTTGATATGTTTATGTAGTTTCCAACCTAATCTATTAAATAAATAGGTTAAATTTGGGTTGATCAATTTAAAATAAAAATAAATAAATAAATAAACTAAGGATTACACCACTTAAATTAGTTATAGACTTAAATAAAATTTCAAAGTATGACAAAAGCACAATCTCAATTCACATATACAGATAAATTGTTCAAATAACATTAAATATATGTAATTTCTAAATGATTTTGGAGAGTGTCTAGTGTTGTTGGTGCCTAGAAAAAAGATAGGAATTAGGATTCCATTTTTTAAAAACATAAATAATAATACGAACATTGTAAATTATAAACTAATACTTAGATTAATAGATGGTAATATTTAAATAATTATAAATTAAATATAAATTATAGTTAAATGGGTTGGTGGGTTGAAAATGGATTGATAATTTTTACCCGGCCCAACATATTTAATTAAATGGGTTAGACGGGTTCACCCATTTAACTTAAATGGGTTGAAAATCTCAACCCAACCTGCTAACTTTGTGTTGCATTGAGGTTGGGTTGGTGAGTTTGATCGATTTTTGCCGGCTCAAAAAAATATCACAAATTGTGAGTTTATTTTACACGACCTAATTTCCGAATTGCCCATTCCTGAATTACCTAATTAGAAGGTATAAAAGCCTAAACTTTCTTTAAAGTAATGATTTTTTATTTCACTATCATCTAATCTATATCTAATCTATGACGAATAATGTAGGTATTTGACTTTATTTGCACAATAAAATGTTATATGTTTCAATATTTTTGTTTGACTTTATTTGTTGTAAAATTTCTTATTTAAATGATGAACATGTCCATTGAGGTATGATACATATTTAAAGGAATTGACTAAATTTCACTTAAATCTTGGAAAAAATGCTTTGAGAGATCAGCCATTTTTTTTTTTTTGTCTTTTTCTCTTAAAACGAATTATAAAATATATAGTTTTTATTTTTATATTTATACTAATATTAAAATAAATATAACTATACTATAAATATTAACTAAAAGTACCCTATATTTTAATATAAATTTGTTTGAAGCCTTGTCACTACTGACATTACCCAACAATGCAGGTTCTTAATAATCACATCCGCACAATTATATGTTCAACAATCATAGCTTGAAATGTGGAGTATATATCACTATGGATCAACCATTAATTTGTCTAGTGTTTAACGGTAAGGATTAAAGGGATATTCTTAGGGCCGGTTCCTGAGAAAATTAAATATCTTCAAAGCCCGGGACGAGCTAGAAAAAAAAGTTATTATCGTTATTATAAGTTTTTACTTTTAATATACTATACTATATAATAAAAAATTGAGTCATATGTAGCTGCACACTTTACCCTCCCTCAACGCCTCCCATGGATATTCTAAAAACCAAGCACTAGGTATGAGTTTTTTAACAATAATGATAATATATTTCTAAGTTTTGAAAAATGACTATTTTGTCCGAAAAGTCATAGAATCTAATGAGACTTGACATAAAACTAATTCAGGATATGTATGATAAGAAGAAGGTACATTTTTGGTTGACATCGTACATCATAGAATGTACGATGTTCCGAAGTGAAATTCCAACACCAATATAGTCAACATAAACAAATATTTTATCATTTGTTCGATAAGCATAAAAAATGAACCTTCATAGTCCCCATCATTTGCAACAGGGTGAACCCCATCCAACATGGATTTATTTGGTTCATAGTAGTAAAGTTTCCTACATTCTTTTTGCATGAAATGTTCGAGTCAGGAAAAAATTCCGGTGTAGGTCATACCAGCAAAATCATGATCAATAATTGCACATCATTAGTATAAGAGATAAGAGAAGGGATGTCCAGAAATACCCCTTTGACAGTTGAGCTCCACCATCAAATATAAGCCATCATGATTTAGGAGTTCACTTCCTCTACTTCGATGATTCTTGAGTTCAAAAACCCTAGCTTTTTTCTTTGTTTCTTTGTTATTAAAATTATGGAACAATAGAGAAGAAGAATACCTACTTTATATAGTGTACCTCATTTATAATTATATGGAATTTCTTATGTGATAATACCTAAATAATTGTCTTATTAAATAAAAGTCAAGTAAGCCAGCATCGTTTCACCGTTAAATAGTGTAATTGACACATAAGTACAAACTTTAATGACCTATTGTGTGTTAGAGTTTAGGGATTTCAAATAACAATTTACTTGGAAGGGGGACACACGCATTCAATTTATGACACTGTTTTGATTACTATAACTATTTACTGTTTTCGGAACCTCCGACAACACCTCCATTCAACCATTTTCCGATATGATTTTGATTTTGGTTACATTTTTGTTTTTTTGGTTTGATTTAGTTTTGATTGTGATTACATGGGGTTTGTTTTTTTATTTTGGTTCAATTTTAATTTATTTTGTTGGAAGACATATGGTTATCAGAGGTAAATGGTTCCCGAGATGAACAATGGTGGTTGAATAGAGGTTGACAGAGGTGAAGGGGAAGGGAGGAGTGTGTGATGATAGGATCCATATATTTATTAATTTGTTTTTTAATTAATAAATAATATAAAACAGAAAAATAAAAGACAAAGGGTAACGTCGTCTTCAGATATGTATGCGACGAAAAATACAACAAAATCATACAAAAAAGATGGTCTAAATAAAAAAAGTAGTGATTAAACAGATAATTTTGGTCAAAACCACAAAGACAATTTCAGTAATTTATCCTATTAACGATAATAATCTTTAATAATAATCTACTAAGCACTTTTAAGTTTTAACACATTTAACATAAGCAATTTCAAACGCAATTAGCGTACTAGCTATGAAATAAAGTAAAGTAAAAAAAGCAAAAAATTAAAGCAATTATTAGCACTAGAAAGAATCATGTTGAGAAAATATATGACTCTATCACAATCACATTAAGTTGCTGTTATTAAAGAAAAAAGAAAAAAAGAAACTAAATACAAGCGCTTATGTAATTGTGTTACCCAATGGGAAGGAAGGAATAGACTAACATTGCCCAATGGGAATATAGTACAGCACTTTGCATTAATGTCGATACAGTGTCACCGCCAACTGGTTTGTCCATCAAAAACTTCATCCTGAAGCACTTGAATTGAAAATTGATTGCTCTATAAAGTATTCAACTATATTGTCCCATTTCCCAAACCCAAACCCAAACCCACTCTCCATAATTTTAACTCACACCATCCGGGTTTTGATGGGGGATCAAATTCGCAAATAAACCATCTGATAGTTAGTGGGAAAACTTCAAGATCTAGGAACCTATTCTTTTCTTTCATTGGATTATTATGTTGTCATAAATTTCCCATTATATTCTACAGATCTGATTTGCAGAAGGACTAAAAAAAGGGTGTGTGACATGTTGGGGCGAATTCATCTGGTTAGTTGCAAGGCCGTTCAGACCTCCAACCCCATCTGAATCTGAATCTCTACACCAATCTGCTGATGTAAGTCTAAATAAATATCTGCTTAGTTTTTCTTGCTTCAATTTAAATGGCAAGATATGTTCTAATTAAACTACCATAAACATAAAAAAATATGAAAGAAAAGTAAGATCTGACGTTTATGCTAACTTTTGATGATATATTTTGCAAACCAAGCTTCATCTTTTCATGTTAAGATAATAATTTATTTGATGGCCAAAAGTAAATAAGATTTAGTAAATTAGTTTTTAGCTTCAGATCTTCCCAAAAGATTTGGAGAAAGAAAGTCACAATTAGTATGTATTAGTTAATATAAGATTCTATTAAATAAGGCCAGACTCTTATGGGAATATCACTTGACATTTGATTTGTTATTTGTAAATTGTAACAGGAGGAGGTTATGGGAATATCATATGATGTCATCTTAACGACCTTGCAATTAACCGGGTGAATTAGCCCCAACATGTACCAGATCGACCTTATCAACAACAATCCAGTAATATCGTATCGTCTATCACCATTTTTTTATTTTCAGATTATGCACATGAATGTTTGTTTAGATTAACCGAGTGTCACAACCATCCACATAGGACCAGACACAACTTCCCGTGCAGAACCAGAGGACCTTTTTTTTTTTTTTTTTTTTTTTTTTGTGTGTGTTCATACTTGATAATATGTTGGTTGGCGAGTTTTTATGAGGCAGATTTCCCTAATCCAAAGAGAACACTTCTCAAAGTCAAAACCACCATGACATTCCAGATTCCACATATTTTGATATTTGATTCGATAATTGTTCTTTCCTTTTAAATCTCATATGAACTGAACAAGTAGCAGCAGACAAAAAAGATCACCTTTCTCAGCTCAGCTACCCGTGTTTGCACTTACTCTTCAACAAGCAAAGCCTGCATGTACAATTAAAGAGTTGGATTTTGCTGCTAATTCATCTATTATACTGGAGACCTGAGTGAACCAATTTACATCATCTTGCTGACCTTATTTATAGAAGCCCTTTACGTCTTCTAAACCATGTTCACTGCAGGAAAAATTCCAGTTGCAACCAAGAATTCAATGTAATGGTTGAGATGCATAATTACATACCACAATAACAATATAGGTACTTAGTTGCAAATGATTAAACAATTAGTATTTAAAAGTGTACATTTAGAGGATTCCTCAGAGAAGTTAGATTTTAGTATTTAACCCATTTGGTTTGATTTTTAAATTTCAGGTGTGGTAAATGGTAATAACTTTATTCCCTGAAGCATGCATGAGATACCTGGCTTAAGACCATTTCTCTAGTCTCTACCTATTATTAGTAAGTTCAACCAACCAGCCAACAATATTCATCATAGTTTGTAATAATAGAGCACACATACACTTACACTTGTAGATATTTAACTAGTCTGATTACTGTTTCTACCCAACATCAACATAGTAAATGTAGTACAAATTGGCCAACTAATTGATCTTCACATCTGGCATTTCCCTCACCATTAAACTTTTATTCTTCCCATTACTTATAGTAATTACCTTTGACATTGATTTTTATACAAACAAACAAACAAAGCCCCCTCCCCCATTTTACTTGTGGCTGTTTAAACTAAAATAGTAATGGGCTGGAAAACCAAACACCAGAAACCGAGCAGTTTTGAAAACAGATCATATGGCAACTGTAAGAAAAAAACAGACCAAAATTTTAGGTTGGTTCAGTTTTTTTATTTTAAACCAAAAAAAAAAAACCAAACCAATATCACCTCATTTTTATTAAAAATTGACCTAATATATTATTAACTTTTTTCACTTCATTGGGCCTGGATGGCTGGATCAAGTGTTTCTTTCAGCCCTTAAAGAAATTAAACATACATACTTAAGGCTTGAGCCATTAAACATACTTTGTGTCTTTCACTTCCCCTCCTTTTCTCTCCAAAAAAACTCTAACTATTAATACATTTAACAAGTAGTTTTTCTAACTCCATACTAACTTCATTCCACAAAATTTTTCTTATTATTAAACAAACCGTGTTGAGATCGATGCATAAATGATGCTTTGTTTGAAATTAATCTATAGCCTAATACACCGGTTACAACCTTAATGTTCAATACAAGGTGGTAACAATTTTTACAAGAATAATCATCTTGTTGACACCTACAAGTACAACAACAAAGGTCATAATGTTGAATGATTTCAAACCATGACTCAAAAGACAAAACCAACAAAATCAAAATAGCAAGTACTACAATAGACAGTCAAGAACTAGTGTTATTAATATTATGCATGAATGTAAATACTTACTTTAACTCTCCATAAAATAATGAAAATCAGCACAAAGCTAGCATGTTAAAAAATACCAATACCATACATGTCAAAAACCTGTAGGGAAAATCAAATCAACATAATCTTCACAACAAACCACGTTAAAACCAATGCCCCCGAAAATAGCTTATTACGACTCCAATGACTGAAACCTACTAACCCTATCTAACTATAGAGTATATATAAAAGCCAATTCCAAAGCCATAAGGCATATTGTTGTTGTATGTTAAGAATTTTTAAGCATATAAACTCGCTCGTTAATGCCCTAGAAATCTCCTCACATGATGTACAGTTATACCTAGATCGAGGGTTATGTCCGTACAGAACAGCAGATATATAGAAGTATATATTGAACACATCGGAACATAAATTTTATGCAGAAAATCGGAAAATCATATTGAATACATCACATACAGAATGATAAAGACACCTGTTACCGCCATTGTGGGATTCATAGAGCTTGCCGCAGGCGGAGAATACAACGACGGCCACATCAACGTCACATAGCACGGAAAGCTGCCGGGGTTTCTTAATTTCGAAAATCCTTATCTTCGATCCGCTCATTTGTATCATCTTCCGCCCCATTGTTTGTCTTTCCCGACGAACTCTAACCCTAACTTTTCAACTTCCGATGGCCTGAATCCATCTTTACTCTGGCGTGTGTGGACTGTGGAGTCCATTTCAAAATTACTTATTAATTTATTAGTTTTTCAAATACTTATTAATTTATTTGTTTTTTTTAAATGTCAATAAATTAAAAAAAAAAATTGGTAAATATTAAGTTTCGACTAAACTGTACAAATGGTCCCTATGGTTTGTTCAAAATTGTCATTTTGGTCCAAAAATGTTTGAACTAGCACCATAGATCCAAAGTTTTCATTTTGTTGCGGGTTTGATCCAAAATTTTCAAAACTTTTTTTAAAGACAGATTTGCCCTTGGTATTTTGCCTTTTTAATTATTTTACAATTTTTTCTATTATGTTCTTTTAATTTTTTGAATAAAGAAATTGAAAAAAAAAATACAAGCCTCTCTCTCTCTCTCTCTCTCTCTTCATCTAATTTTTACATAGAGAAAATATCACCACAACCACCACCGACCGGAGTTATAAACGCCACCTTGACCACCGATCAGTACCACCACCGCCTTCAGCCCCACCTTCGATTTTGGGTTACATCTCCCGACCATCGCCGAAGAATCAGAACGTCGTCGCCATCTTCCTCAGCAAACCCATTTCACGTCACCTTCTCAGGCGACCATCTTCCTCAACAAACCCTTCGATTCCGACGACGACCTGGTGGGTGTTGCAGATCTGTAGGGCGGGAGGCCACGAGGCGACGACGGTTTCAAGATGAACAGAACATAAGGACGATGAGACTGAGAAAGATGGCAACGCCATTGTTCGATAAAAGTAACCTTACCATATATGAAGTCCGGCGAACATATCTGATCTCCTGTGAACGATGTAATGTTGGAAACGGAGAGAAACGAAGGCGATGACGAGCTAGGGTTTGCTGACAAAGATGGCGACGTTGGTGGTCCGACGACATATGTCGGTGAAGAACAGATCCGATGGCTGAAATCCAAATCGATGAAGATGACGACGCTAGGGTTTTTGACGACCACCATTGCAGATCCAACTCTGATACTAGGGGTTTCAAGATCTGGAAGGGCAAATCATCGTGTGTGTTCTTGGTGCAAACCCAAATGCGATTTCCTGTTCCTGCTTAACGATAAACCCATCGATCTCTCTGCAAAACTAGGGGAGATTGGGATAAAAAGTCTGAAGGTGGATGAATAAGGGGATAGGTGGTGGTTTTCGACATATAATGATGCTTTCTGGCAGATGATGGTGGTTTTCGGCTGGTGACGGTGGTTTCCGGTTGGCTCGGCAACAATGACAGGTGGTCAACGATGCTTTCCTGCAGATATTGTAGGGAGAGAGATGGAGTGGTGTTTGTGAAAGAGGAAGAGGAGGGGGTGGAATAATATTTTACTTTTACTTTTTTGTTTAATTGTTGCAACAAAAGAAAAAATAAAAATACACATTAAAATGGGCAAAACTGCAAACATAAAACATATTAAAGTAATTCAAAAAATAAGAATAAAAGATCAAGGGTAAAATCATCAATTTAAAAATTTTCAAAACAAATTGAACCAAACTCGCAACAAAATGAAAACTTTTGACCTATGGTGCTAGTCCAAATCTTTTTGGACCAAAGTGACAATTTTGAGCAAACCACATGGACCATTTTTACAGTTTGGTCTTAATTTTTTAGTGGAAATAATGATTTTTTCCAAAAGCAAAAAATACTTGACTTTTTCAAAAAGTCAATAATATAATTGAAAAGCACTCCCAAACACCCATTATCTCTAAATCTCTTAAGGCGAGTGGGAGTGGGGGTCGTTAAGACCCTCGCTAGCACAAGGCAAACACCACCCCCTAGCATGCGCTAAGGGAGGCGTTAAAGAAAAGTCACTAATTGTTTAGCGGGAGGAGAGAGATGAAGAAACAAAAAATTGAAGGCTGTTATTGGTCCTTTCTTTTTGTACTTGTTTTTTTTCTTTTTTTTTTCTAAAAACAAATGGATCTCATTGGTTCTTTTCCATTTGTTTTTTGTTTCTTTTTTTCTTTTTTTATAATCCAAGTGTATATGTTTTTTAAAAAAAGCTTAGGTGACAAGTAAAATGTATGATGTGACATGTTTTAGCGTAGTGCTAGAAGTGTTACCACTCCATCTATCCTAATAATGTAACCGAGAGAATATGTTAAATACGAATGAAGCATGACCTGTAAATTGTTGAAAACAACCATACTCATTGCTTATCAAAGGAGCATCCTCCCTCTTATCTACTATACATTCTCACGACCTCTACAACTCTACTATAGATTTTTAATTTAAAGATATTTTTAGGGATGTATCTAATAAAATAACTTTGTTGACTTCAAAAAAATAAGTCTAAAAAAAAGGTGTTTGGAATTTAATTTAAAAATAAATTATTAACTTAAATAAAAAAAAAATATTTGACAATATGAAAATGACTTTTGAATTAACTTTTCATCAACCCTTTAAAAATGAGATTCCAATAATTTAAGATTTTTAATTTTTCAAAACTTCTTATAACTTAACTAAAATACCCCTTAAAAGATGTATAGGACTAACACTTTAAAAAATAATTTATAGATTTTTTCTACCACAAAAGCTATTCCAAACATTTAAAAAACAAATAATAACAATAATAATAATAATAATAATAATAATAATAATAACATTTTCCTACAATCATAAGTCAATAAGTCATTTTGCCTAAAATTCTTTTAAATTTCAAAATAAACAAACATCCTCTAAATGGTTTTTAGATATGTTTTAAAATGAAGGTTTTCAAAAATTAGGAGTTCCTTTAACTTTTTAAATTGAAAACTTAAAATATTACCTTTAAAAAACTCTTTCGTTCTCTTTTTTTATGCACTTTATAACCATTTTATAATTATAAGGTTTTTGATTACTAAAAAAACTAATCCAAATAGTTTTTTAAAAATTCATTTTATCACTGTTATAAGTTAATAAACATTTTTATCCAAAATCATTTTTAAAGTTCAAAAAACAATCTCAAACATCCCCCTCCCCCTCCCCCTCCCCCCCCCCCCCCCCCCCCCCCCCCCCCCCCCCCCTCTTTAATTAAGAGAAAAATACTTACAATAGCTGCTTTTTAAAAATTCATTTTATCACCACTAAATTGATATACTCAATTCGTAGTCTAATAAGGTCATTATGAATCGGAAATCATGAAACATAATCTTGGGCTATGAGATTGACTTATACACATGTCTCGTATCCATACGATATCTTGTAGAATGAAGGAATAGTTACTCACTTATCATAGGTTCATCGTTTGATATGACCCAGAGTTCGACAATGGCTTTGGAAAACATACTTTGCTCATTATTTAAAGTATATCTTTGAAATTGTAGTTGGCGACTTATCCAAGTGGGAGACTATTGGATTAAGGTGTCTAAGGTATTAACTAAATTGGTATATTCTTATGAATAAAAAGATAGTCATTTTTTGGGTTGCCCTCATATCCAGAAATAGCTAGGAATGATATTAAAAAAGAAAATAAATGGTTTATTAATTTATTATATGATTAATAAATTAATTAGAAATTTATTAGAATTAATTTAGAATTAATCAAACTAATCAGAAATTGATTTTGGGTTAATTTGAATTAATTAGAAATACAAATGTTGGATTGTAATTGTTCAATAGTTGTGTAAATGAGATATTCTAGAACCCTCCTATGATGGATGGTTTTGAAGCTCTTCCAAAAGGGTTCTGGAAGCCACCTTTTAGGGATATCTGACTAAATCTGAATATTTTAATATTCAAATGTGGGTTTATCCTAAATATCTTTTTCTAGAACACTAAAACATAATCCTTAATTTTTAATCTTAAAACTATAATTTTGTTAATTACATAAGTTAAACCGTTTTTGGTCTTCAATATACACCAAGGACTATTTAGTGTTGGATATTCTGCTTAGAGGATCAACGATCTGTTCGAGTTATGGTTTCAGAAGAATGGGTCATAGGTATTTGTGAATCGGGTATGCGGAACTTTGGTTCAGAATTTGGTCAAGACGGGGGTGCAGAGCAGGTTGCCATCAGATGTATGTGTTCAAGAATGCAAGAGTCGTTTTCACGGAAAGAAGTTGTTGGACAAAGAGCTCGTTGTAGATAGGGGTTCCTTTCAGGAAAGTCGAGGAATAGGTCAAGAGGCGTTTGGGTCGCTTAGGTTGAATATCGATTGTTGAGGGATTTGTCAGCTTGTTGTATAGATTGATATTTATAGTCTAGGTTGGGCAGTTGCTGATTAGTGAATCAGTTTCAGAGTTTGGTATGTTTAGTCCCTCATGGGCTTTGTCCAATAGTGTATTGGATCAATGTATTAGTTGTCAATGCACTCTCGATCGTTGGTCTTATCGTTCTTCGTAAATAGCAGAGGTTCTTCAGAAGTTTAGAGTTGGATCAATTGAAGTTCAATGGATGCCTCAACCTATTGTCAAAATCTGTACATTGCACATTTTGGTTTCTGGGTATGGTTACCCTCAATGGTTGGTTGTGAAATTATTATTCATAGTTGGCTCGAGTTTGGCAGATGTTATTGGTTATTGGAAGTTCTGATATTGGGGCAGCATTGTGGAGTTCTTTAGGTGTGGCTTGGGATCTGCGCATAATCCAATTTTGGTGTGTCGTGTCGCAGGGTTGGTATTTGGATTGACCCGACCAGAGTTTGACAACATTTTCTGATGGCTTTGGAAGTTTTATCGAGCTATTTGCGTATTAATGGGATCTGTTCGGTTTCAATCAGTGTGTGGGATCTTAGTCTTCTACCATTCATGAGGATGTTTATGCTAGCGGTTGAGGTTCTTCATTTCAGTCAGATATACTGATACCACACCCGATGGGTAAGGGTTGTGAGGAAGAAGGAGTGCAATAGATCTAGGGTCGGTTATGTGTTTTCCTTTGGGGATATATGTAGGTTAAATAAGATAGCATGAGAACACTTGGCTCGAGTTATTGGCATGGTTCTTAATTGCATTGTAGCCCTAAAATTGGAACAAGAGTGCAACCGTCTATCTCATTCTCTGGTTGTGTGCAACCATGTTTTCGCCTAGATTTT